CCAATTCATGTGTTACGTATCAAAGCGACTCCTAGGACTCGATCAGGTAACACTCACTCCAAGCACTACTCGGGGTACCTGATTATCTATACTCCCAGGGGAGCACAGACACAACAACACATAAGGGGTGAGAATTTCATTCAATAAATATACGGTGAATATCACATGCTAAGGAGTAGTAATCACATGATTCACACATCACAAAACACTTCATAACATAACACATCATTCACGTAATACAACATCAACTCAAACAATGCAATGCAATGAGACCAACATCAACTCAATGCATGTGGTACCGTCAAGGTATAAGCCCTCATCACATATGCCAATTTGGGCACTAATAAGGCATGAGCCCTCATCATAATGCCATTACAAGCCAACAACACGACATGAGCCCTCATCACTATGCAACATGCGACATCATATGCAACATAACTATACAACCACAAGGCATAAGCCTTCAATATTCGTCAATATAGACCATCATCATCGTCATCATACAACATAAATTCCACATAAAATCCCATGTTTTAAACTTAATTTATTATTATTACTAGCCTTCTTATGTGTCCTAAGCCTTACTAGTCATTATGGATCGAGAGAATACACTCCACACGCGAAAACGGGAAGAAATCGCGAAAACGAGAATTTTTGCACCTTCGCCTGCCCCTACGCGTAATGCTGCATGCGTTACGTGTATTGCCTTGCTACCTGCCCTGCCTTACGGCTAATGCTACCTGCATTACGTGTAATGCCTTCTGTCATGCATTGCCTTACGCATAATGCTCCTGCCTTACGTGTAATGCTACCTGCCTTACGTGTAATGGGAGTCTATGACCAAAAGAAATATGTTTTCGCATTAGAACAATTTCCACTCGTTTTGAGCACTTTCAACCTCCAAAATTGGGTCCAAAACAACATTCTTTCACATATTAACTTAGAGATTTCATTCTACTTCATTATTCTACAACCTACACCAATTTCTACATTAATTCCTCCAATTTTTATCACATCCCTAGATCTACAATTTTTCAGATTTGGGAGTTTTATGAACAACATTAAAAACCAGCAGCAACAACATGTTCATTGTATATATTGGATCACAAATTTCACACAAAAATCACATGGAATCACATAATTCAAACCAAGAAGATATTCATCAATTCATTCATGGAAAACCTAAAGAGGAAAAGGAACCCTCACTACCCTCTCGTGTTAATATTACCAATTTAGAGAACCCATTCACCCCTTACCTTAATTTTCAGCTTTGATGCTTCAACAATGGAGAATTTTCTTTTTCCCTAGTTCTCTCTTCTCTTCCCTTCTCTTCTCTTCTATGTTGCTACGTGAGAATAGTTTTTCTCCCAATTGGTCTAACCCTATTCTATTATATTTAATTATTGCTAACACCTAACTAATAATAATAATAATAATAATAATAATAATAATAATAATAATAATATGAATAATATTATTAATAACAATATTAATAATCTTAATAATAACTATAATATTAATAAAATAATATTATCCCTCAATTCCACTATCATCAGTATTTCTATCAAAACTAAGTTTCACCTTAAAATTCCAAAACAGTTCAAATTCAATAAACAATGACTAAGTATTTAAATGGGGCATTACAGTACCCGGGTACCCTTATATGGTAATCGGTTACCTCCTGTCAAAACGGCCAAAAATGCTATTTTTCGAGTGGTAACCGGGTACCCATATATGGTAAGCGATCCCCATTGTTCAAGAATAAAAAAACCATATTTTTATGTTACGAAAAACACTTATTTTTCCAGTAAACATGTCTAACTTCCACCTACTATACAGTTAATGTTTATAATTGAACTTCCCATATTCATACCTCAATACCAATCATTTTAATTCACACAAAAACACAATTAAGCACTTAAATTAAGTGATTCTTTCATCCAAATCAAAAATCATTGTTATAGCAATTACACCCAAACATCACCCATCAATCAACTTCATTTATACAACATCAAATGCAAGAATTTCACACACACTCATCATCAACAATTGTCACATAGATAAATCACCTAAAACACCCAATTCTAACAAAGATGAACATCTAATAACATAACCTAACTCTACCATAACCCATCATTATACAAACCCTTATAGAGTTAGAACGCCACCCTTACCTTAGGTTTTGAGTTCTCTTCCCTTCTCCAATGGAGTCTTCCCTTTAGCCCTAGGTTCTTCCTTTTCTCCTCTTCTCCCAAAAGCGCTCTTTTTCCCTCTTATCTGGTTTCTACAATCAATTGAGAATCATGATTCTCACTATCTCTTTAGACCCCTAATATCAATAACCCCATATTTCCCTTCTTTATTTTTAATTAATTATTTAATTACTAATATTATAAATAACTTGTATCTATAATAATAATAATAATAATAATAATAATAATAATAATCATAATATAATAATAATAATAATAATAATAAATGATTACTAGTCTTCTCACCACACCCCCACGGTTCTACGATTTCAGTCATACACCCTTAACACCTCAACTTCTATAATTTCTAAGACATCTCATAAAAAAAGCGCATCATATCACATCACATCAAATCACATCATAAAATATATATATTATATGCAGAATATTCTGGGAATATTCTGATATCCTATGTGGCGCACAATTTGAAGATTGAAGAGATTCAAGCTGAGTTTTATGAGATTGTTTAGTTTCTAAGTATGGAGATAATTTAGGAAACTAATGATTTTTGTTGCCTTATTTGCAACAGGTCAATAGTGATTTGAAGCCCAATCCAGAATGTTGAAGATTATAAAAGGAAACCTTGGACCTAGGGCTTGTTAACTAATCCTTTTATAGCATATTGTAATATCTAAAGATAAGGGTTTAGGGTTTTGAGAGTCGTGTACTTTCTTGTGTTGTAAGTCGCCATTTGTATCGATTTGATGCATTGTAGTAGACATAATTATTTATGCATATTCAAAATCCTTTAGGTAATGAATTATGTATTGTTCTTGGATGAAGATTTGAAGCAAATCCAAGTATGTTAGTTAGTTACGGTCTTTGGCTGAACTATTTTTGAAAGGGGTATCTTTCAAGTAGTGTGATGTGGTCACCAAAGGTTGTGGATGTACATATCATGAAGGTGATTTAGGGAGTGAGATGGGTTTCTCTTATCTTGGATGGTGTAATACAGTGGGAGAACTGACTTTTTGGTTTTATCCAAAATATGCGGATAGCTAGAGTCGCCACCGACTTTTCTTTTATCCAATGTTTAGGAAAGGGTGAAAAGAACAAGAAAGACCTTGATAGATTTTGAGTTTGAGGGGTAAGTTATGAAAAGGGAAGGTGTTAGCACCCTTTTCATCCGTAGTTATCTACGGGCTCTTAATTGCTTAGCTCACTTATTTAAACTTGCTTTTGTGTGTGTGATTTGAAAATATTTTGAAATCTCCAATGTAAGGTTGACTTTGTAATGATTCTTGTATCAGTCCTCAAGAATGCGTACAAAGTGTTTTGAAAATATTAGTTTGAAAGTGATATGTGAAAAATGTTTTGAAAAGAGTTGTGAGCAAACATTTAAGAGTTCCTTACCCACTAAAGGTGGTTCTTATTCTTTTCCTCTCCTTTAGAGATAATGATATCCATACCATTAGTTGGTAGGTAGCCCTATCTATTGGATGTTAAGGGATAGGCGTAGGGTCGTCGAATGGTAATCGAAGATAACATGTAAGGATACTTTAGAGTTGTATCGAAGGGACTAAATCATTTTCGTAGGAAACTTCGAAGGGTCATCGAGAGACTATGATCTTTTATTCGAAAGGGTTTTTAGCTAAAGTATCCCTACTTTCGAGGGACATGGCCAAGTATCGTAAGGCAACAAGAGAGGATACCCTAGAAGTGCAAGTGTGAAGAGTGTTTATTTTCAATTATATTATCTTGAGATTAGGGTTTTCTATGTTCAGTTATTAATCTTTCCATACAAACCCTAGTTACTAATCATAGCATAAAAATATAAGTGCGGGAAAATAAATGTCTTACGCTATTACATCATGTGAGTAGTTACATAATAACAAAAAATATGGAAAAGTAAATACGCTATTACATTAGAGAACGCGTCCTATACATTTTGTCTAAGAAAATTAAATAATAAAGAAAGAAAATAAGAAAAATGTTAAAAAAATATTTTAAAAGACCTAAGATGTAAGTTAATGTTTTGGTATTTTACTTTTGATGTTTTATAAAAAATAATTTAAGTGATAATAGTAATAAAACCCTAAATTTCTAATTAATTTTAATATTTAGAAAAAAAAATTATTAATTAATTAGTAAATAAAAAAAAATTGATAAGAAAAAAATAATTATTAATAAAAAAACTAATCCTAATTTGTTAGGATTTTGAAAAAAAGGATTTAAGGTTAGTGATTAGTTATTTAATTAAAAAGATTTAATTAAGAAAAAGAAAGAAATTAGGGTTAATAGACAATAGAAAAGGAAATTAGGTTAGAAAAATAGAAAAAAGGACTTGCCTTGGGTGGGTTCACGCCCCTTAGCTTCACAGATGCCTCCCTTGCCACTAAGCCAATGCTGCTTTTGTGTTAGAAAATAAGAACGGACTAATATATTAATTATTCAATGAATCTAGAAATGTGAAGTATTTTTATGAAAGAGACCCGAGAGAGTGAGTAACAGATACAGAGAAATTAAAAGCATTTCAATGAAATGATATAAATAGAGTGGGAGTAAAGATCTCACTCCTCCATCCATTATGAATACAAATTAAGAACGTGTTTATTACAGTGAAAAGAAATGGTGATGAACTAAAACTAAGTTTAAAATGTGAAGCAGGGTATATATTACTTTCCAATAGTGTACATTAAAATTACTACAAACTATAATTTAATGAAAGCAAGCTGTGAGTTAAATTAAACGGAGTATGCGCAAATGACTGTTGAGAGCTGATTACTTGCAGAAAAAGCATACTCATTGTTAATTTATGGCCAACTTATCACACAATGATTGATAAGCTGCACTGCAATGCTTGAACTTTTCCTCTGCTATAACCTATCAACAGCATAATAATTGTTATAATTAGCAAGCTTTACAACAATTTATAGATATTTATCTAAAAGAATAGAACCAAAAAGGAGGAATTAATCAGCGGGGTGAGAGCTTGGCAGCACCTTGTAAGAGCCTTGATGACGATCAGGATGCCATTTAAGGGCGCATGCGCGGTACCTGAATTGGTAAAATAGTTAAATTCTAGTTAAAACATATAAACCAGCAGCACTGGCTTCCAAAGTTTGTAACGTTTAATAACTAGAAAGGAACTCACGCAATCTTCACATCTTCGAGTTTCAGAGGACCAGAAGCTCTCAATCCAAGGGCTAATCTATCAGAGACTAAATTTGAATGCAAACTATCAGACTCGGACTCAGACTCGGACCCAGTTGAGGAGCCGAATCCATTGTCACTCTGACGTTTCCATTTCCAAGATTTACCATAGTTAGAGAAGTCTCCCGACCTCCCCCAATGAGGATTTTCCTCATTTATAAATGACCAATAGAAGACTCGATTCCCACCAAAGGCAGAGCGGAAAATGTTTTCAACATCAATATCATCTTCACAAAATTCATGATATCCTGAAAGAGATCAAATTTGTTGAAATTTAATATGTGAATTCAGAATATGCTCTATAGATATCCAGAATCTTCATTGCAAAATAATAATAAACACAACGTAGGCGATTTATTTAAGAAAACTTATGTGACATAAAACCAAATCAGTTCTATGATCATTACTATTTAAATCCACCAACCCAACTAAAGTATATGCATGAGAAGTTCCTGATAATATGCAGTTATAAGGTTTCCCAGAAAAAAATAAAATTCTTACACAAACTCCAACCAAGATAATCCTTACTTCTGTATCGATATTTTCCTTGATTGTCATTATTGTGCCTTCCAGAGTTCTTAGGAGAATATTGTTTTGTAAACCACGAGTTGTCTCGGCTTGAAGATGGGTTATCCTCGCCAATATCTTCTTTCCAGTTCTAAACCATGAAGAAAAAGACAATCATAAGCACCAAGGTAGTTAAAATCTACAAAGGGGAGTAAAATCAGAAAACGTGAAATTGTAACACAAATCATAAGATTACACCAAATTCATGAAACTCTTACGGATGCTTATAATTTCGCATATAGGCATATAAAATAGCACAAGAGAAAGAAAACCTTTATCACACTTAAATAATTAAAATTAAATTTGTAAGCTTAAGTCAATAAGTCATACAAACTCGAAACTCAACTTCATAAGTCAGAATCAAAACAACGAAAGCTAGTAAAAACACCAAGAAATTAAACACCTAGTCCTCAAATTGAAAGTCATAACCATTCATGCAATCATGATTTGCTCAACTTCTTTCCATAATCCACTCAGCAGCGGATTCCTCGCTAATAGCAGCATTTGAATTTGAAGTCATTTGGCCAATAATAAAGATACGGTTCTGTAAGTACAAGTCAGATGGTAAAAGACTGCATAGACATTTGATATGCTCGGGTGCGGGTTCAAATCTGCCATTTCTTATTTTTCAGCACTTACTTTGTGAAAGTTTTGCAGCTAGATTTTTTAGAAAAACAAAAAAAGACAACAAAACAGAAACTGACTGCATGGACAAAGAAACTCACAAAGATAGAACAGATCCTTTGGTCAGCAACACAACAGAAACAGAGAAAAACTTGCGCATATAACTATAGCTAAGGGCTGCAAGAGAAGCTATCAGTCATGTGACAGCGAGACCCGAGAAAAACCTGTGGATGTGACTTGTGACTTGTAAACAAATGAGTTGTAAATAGTATATTTCTTAACCCGAAAACCCTATTTATTAAAAGGGTTATTTCTGCCCCATGCATGCTGGAACGGGTTGTTTCTACTAGCCCTAGTGCAAAATGGACCTTTTTTAACGAAAATATGTACGCCATGGGATAAAGCATGATGATCCAAACCAGAATTTCCGAAAAGAAAAAACAAATAGCAGCTCATATCAGTCAACAATTAAATAATGCAATCACACCTGATTCCACCATAATCCGATTCTTCGAGGACTATAAACTGTTTAGGACAAATAAAATCGTAAAGTAATGCATCTTACGATCAAAATGCAATTCTGTCTGCCATGATAAGCACTTTAGATGCAACATCTTGAAACAAGTAAACCAGGGAATAATGAAGGAAGGGGAATTGTCTAGATCTATGAACAAAATCAAAAAGTCTTTTTTTCCAATAGATGAAGTTAGCTACATGGATCAAAGGGAATCATAACCTCATAATGCCCTGTGCCGGGACAAACTAATTAAATCTAAATCTGATTTAATGATATTATCATTCATCCATTCTACCCCTGTAACTGGAGCTTCTATAGACAAATCACCATTGGAGGCACTTTATCATCTTTTCCACTATAATGCTTTCATATCTACTATATTTTGTATTTTGCGTCTATTCATCCACTGTAACATTCTTATATCTGCCCATCGAGTTAAACTTTTTGCTAACTCTGGCTCAACATTCTAATGAATACAACATCATATGTCTTAAACAAAAGTCAAAAACAATAATACGGAGGACTCCTAAATATCACATGAGCCTTTACTGGAGAGAAGCATAAGCCTTTATTGGAGAGAAGCATAAGCAAACTGTATCTAAATTGCCAACTTCAGTAAGGCCTCTAAGGATTTTATAAGAAACACTGTGAACAAAGACAGACTTCTGTCTCGAAGCATTCAGAAGTAGAAAATACCCAATAAAAGGAGACAAAAAGCTGTAGTCCAGATCTCACAGATGCATAAGTAGTTACATTGGCAGAGTTTAAGTCCACCAGGAATTTTGTACTCTATGGAAAAGTAGTCCTTGAGGAAGTATAACATAGAACAAAATGAAGCACTCACTAAATCTTTTGAAAGGCAAAAGGTATTCTTTATTATTTGTTCAAATTACCATTCATAAGTATTCTCTTGGAAGATAGTAATAAGTCAAATGACTAACAGTGTTTTCATGTAAAATGTCAACAAAAGAAAATGACCAAATAAAAAATCCTACCAAGAAATAAATGTAATAATTGGGGGAGAGTTTTATCTTAGAATGTGTGGGTTGGACCTAACTCATCCCTACAAAACTAGCTTGTAAGATGAGGATTGCCCCCACTTACAAACATTTTTTCAGGCCATAAATTGTATGATGTGGGGCTCTTTATCATTAGAATTTGCTGCTAAATTCAAAAAGTAAACATCATAACATGATAACCACTTGTCTTTCTCTATCGAATCGGCTATAAATCTATATTTTAGCAAAAAGAGATATAGTTCCTAACAAAAGCCATTTAAGGGACACAGGCAGCTCATTACATGCCTAAAAAAAACTTTAGGCTCTGTCTACTCTGTGAAAACATTTTCTATTTTCACTTTCTAATTTGTGTTAATTATATTTGCTTCTGAGAAGATGAAGAAGTCTTGAAGTGAATAATTGAGTGCATTTTTCTAAAACAACGAAAATGCCAAAAAATATATATATTTTTTCATTATTTTCAAAAATGCATCATCCCTTAACTAACATTTCATCTTCTCGCCATCACAATGGCTCACTTCAACTATTTCTCATGTTCTTAAAAAGTTTAAGTGAACACATTTTAGAAAATAAAAATATAAAAGCATCAATAACCTGAAACATGAATTCTGCATAAGCTACATTACGGAGCAACGATTGTTTCGCCTGCATCCTTCTAAATCGTCTCGAGTAATGGTTACATCTCTGCAATCAAATCAACTTCATCATAAATCAGACCCAAACAACAGCATTAAATACACAGTTATTCAACATTGTTCATTCATTCAACAGTAATCAGAAAACAACCAAATCAAAAACCACAAGTAAAACAAAATCAATAAAAATGGGAATATCAGAATCCATAATGCAATTGAAATGAGAAAGGAACTAACAGGTTCCCAAAATTTGTGTCTTTTGCGTTCCAATGGAGGAGTGGAATGGAAGAGTCTGAGGGTGAAGGAAAGAGGATTAGGGTTTGTGTGGGTTAAAGTGGTTTTGAAGGCGCTATTCATTTTTAATTTTTTTTTTGTTGAGAATTTGGAATTTGCGAGAGGGGTGAAGTTTGAAGTTGAAGATATGGTATAGGAGAATTACGGCGAAGAATCGAAGCTAAATTTCCTGTGATGCAACCCCATTTTTCACTCGCCACCGCAAGCAACTCCCTATTCAACTTGTGCTTGGGAGGAAGTTTAGGGAAAACAAAATCTTCAAAGGAAAAAAAAATCTAAAGAAAGGAAATGTTTTTTCTTAAGTTTAATTAATTTGATGTTTGAAATATTTTAATATCAATTATATTGTTTTTTTTATAAGAAGGAGGGCCTATGCTCAGAACAAGAAACAAAAACCGACCACTAACCCTCCTACGAATTGGAGACCCTATTATATCAGTGATTAAAATTTGTCTAACGAAATTCAAAAAATCTTCATCAAATGTAGCACTATCTTGATTTATAGTTCCAAATTTAGCTAGCGAATTGACACATCGATTGACTTCTCTAAAAGTATATTTCCATTTTACCTCTTCAAACTCCTCCGACATCACTCGAATTTGATTAACCAATTGTCGACAAAACAAACATTCAACCCCATTTTCTGGTATTGTAACATATTGGCTAGCTTTAAACCATGTAACACTCCCCACAATTCAGCCTTCACAATGTTACACACTCCTAAAGACTTGTAGAAACACCCTTTGCAATCTCCTTTATAATCTCAGATAATGTCTCCACATCCTGAGTTGTTACCCTCCCTACAAGACCCATCGATGTTAATTTTAATCCACCCTCTCTCCGGTGATATCCATTTTACCTTATATCTTAATGAATCTTATTTACCCCAATTATACCACACTTCATAGCATTATGATATTCTTTCTGCCTCTCCTGCACTTGTCCACTTTGATCATACAGTCTTTTATACGTTGTGTCATGAAGCTTCTTGTTCCTCCAAGCCCAAAAAGTATGGTATCCTATCACCCAGTAGCTACTCCAGTTATTATTATAACTCAAATTAAGATCAATCCACTCTCACAAATCGAGTGTGTAGAAAGCTTCCCTAATCGCCAAAGGCACTTGTTGCATCCATACATGTCCCACATGAAAGCAATCACGCATAGTTGTTGGTGTAAGCCTTAGAGGCCAATACTTTTGGTACTTGTATCGAATTATTTATTAATAATAAAAGGCATTTCTTTATTATGTTTGCTTTTCCAAAATAATAAAGTCCCTAGGATAGTTCGTCTATTTAATGAAATGTTAAGTGTGACTTAATCATGAGATCCCATTAAACATAAGGACATTATTCTTAAAGTATCCGTAGTCGAGATTTATTGCAAAGTGGGATAACATTAAAGCATTGAGATTATTATATAAATAGACTGATGATCACATCTCATGGATCATGGATAAGGAGTTATCAAGTCTTGACATAGGTATGAATATTAAGAGTAATATTTATACTGGATTGACCCGCTATGACAATACTACATAGAATATTATGCAAGGTGTCATAAGTTATGCTCATGGTGATAATGGTGTATACCACACTTCGACCTAAAACCACTATGGACCCTAGATATAGAGTTAAGTTCTTTATTGCTGATCAAACGTTATACGTAACTGGATGACCATAAAAACAGTTGATGGATACTTCACAAAGCATGCTAAGGGACATGAGTGAGCTAGATGGAATTTTCCCATCCTGCATAATAGGATAAATGTATAAGAGTCAAATATTGAACTGGACAAGGGTGACACGATCTATGTCTTGTGTTCAATATAGACATAAGGGAAAAAGGGTAATTGTACACACAAGTATTATCACATAAAGTTTTTTGTCAGATCACATGACATTCTCGTGACATGAGTAACACTGATGTTTTGCTAGATACCGCTCACTATTTGTTATGTTAAATGTGTGATTTAATATAATTGTCAGCATCGCGAAAACCTACAAGGTCACACACATAAGAACAGTTTTATGAGAGATAGAGTAAATAAGGAACACCATAAGGTACGATGCACTTAAGTGGATTGTAGAACATTGTAAGGTACGATATGCTTAAGTGGAATACGAAATATGGTAAGATACCACACGCTTAAGTGATATACGATACATCATAAGGTATGATGCCCGTATGCTTAATTGGGCTTTTATCTTGCAGCCTTATTTGGGCTTTTAGCTTGCAGTCCACACAAGTGGTTCTATAAATAGAACTCTTGTGTTGACTTTCACTTGATGAAATTTCGGTCTTAAAACTCTAGTCGTATTTTGTCTCACTCTCTCACTCAAAGTTTTCATTCGTAAGCAGCTAGCACTATGACCGAAAGCAATTTGTTCATGTGGACTGAGTAGAGGCGTTGCTTTTCATCAACACTCGTGATTACAACATAGAAGGTTTGAATCGCCATAAGAGGTAATAGTTTCTATCACTAACCATGCCCATTCGTAAGGATCACTAAAGGAACATTTTAATTTTCGCTGCATTTTGGATACAATTTTCCTTTAATAGCATGCAGCAAGTTCTCAATAACACAGCCACACATATCACAGACAGCTCTTCCAAGACCTCAAATGAATTTATTTGAATTTGTTAGTAACCTGTCATGGCATAATAGCCAAATAAACACGTGGACTCACTCTTGAACTTTTAATTTCCACACACTCTTCCATTGATTTGTTACATCGAGGAAATCATCATTCTCCATCAGCTGATAACTTTCTTTAACTGAAAAACCTCCTTTCGGAAAACCTGCAAAAAGAAAAGTGTCAGTTCCATAATCCTCCCTTGGCGGGAAAACTGTTCTAATTTTCTCCATAATTTTCATAGGCAGTCAGTCGTGCAATAACACCCAATTCCACTCTCCCTCTTGCGTGACTAGGTCCTTGACTTTGGCATGGATAACACTGTTTCGTATCTCAATACCCAGCTGATCAATGACAGGCCTTTTCTCGATCCAACAATCAGTCCACGCCACCGTTTTCACTCTATTCCCAACACTTCAGCTACCAAACTTCCTCATTTATGCATTAATTCGAACCAAGTCACGCCACAACTTTGAAGCAATGCCTCTACACGTTGCAGTTTCCATGTGGTTCACCTTATATTTCCTCTCTAACACTTCACACCATAATTCAGTTCCATTATTATTTAGGTTCTAGAAGATATTCATCATGCAAGCAACATTCATTTGATCCAATATGCACAATCCTAGTCCCCCTAACACTTTAGGCCTAGTTAAAACAACCGGTGGAACAATCATCGAGAGAAAATCAATGAAGTCACCATTGAAAATTTTTTATCCCACAGGAAGGGAAAGGTAAACATCGAATAAACCTAAGAAGGGTGAAATCACGATCGTACGACTGAGAGATATGGGTAAGGGAGTCGATTACGCAAGGGGGAGGTATTAGCACCCCTCGCGTCTGTGGTACTCCACGGGATCCACTCTTGTTGTTCTAATCAAAGGGTGTGCTTAAATCTAAAGCTTACGAGCTAAAGGAAAAATGCAATAAAGGAATGCATGCAAAAGAAAAAACAGGGGAAAAAAGGAATATTTACAAAGTTTCGCTCGCCTGGGCCCCGCGATCAAATGCCTATGTATCCCTTTTAAGGAATCAGAGCGCCGTAGTTCGTAGTTCGACTCAAAAGTTTTTGTTTGTTTTGTGTTTTTATAGATAATGCCGCATTTGCATCCTTATGGTTAGGATTGCAATTCGTGCTTGGCGTTACAGCTCATAAAGAGACTTATGCTCGGCCCCTCGCACACTAGCATTTCCATGTTGTTCGAGTTTGAAATAACACATCCTTATTGAAAAGGTTTTAAAGGGAAAAAAGGTCCGAAGACAAAAAAAAAGTTTGCATTGGTTTGTACTTTTTATTGCGAAAGAATTTGCAATTTGAACCATAATAAAGTCCGAAAGTGAAAATAGTGCGAGGCTCAGTCTAAACCGATTCGCTCTACCCCACAAGACTCAACTGCATAAGATTCACGTCTTCCTTTATTAAATGTTTTAGAATTTTAAAAAGAAAAGAAAAAATTTCTAAGGGAAACTATCTAGCTCTATCCCTAATGTTATCATACAATGATGGTCCTAAGGTCCAGATAACAAAAAGGGAAATCTCTACCTACGTTAGCATGCATAGATTACAATCTAATGTCCAACTTAAATCGAAAACAAGACAAGTAATCCTAAGGGAACATGCAAAGATTACAATCTAATATCCAACTTGAATCGAAAACGAAACAAATCCTAAGGGATCATGCAACGGTTTACAGTGAAGCACAACACAAGTGCAATCAAATAAAGTCGAGCCAAAGCCAAAACAAAAGTGAGTGCGAGCTAGCAACAAACAAAGAGTCCAATGGATCTTAAAGTGGGAGTAAGGAACTCTTTCTACTTGATTTGCTCGAGCACCAACATCGAGTAACAACTCGGAGCATCAAAGTCGAGTGACACAAGCTAACATCGTTGAAACGAATGACAAAGCATGGGGGTTGGTTATGGACCCCTGTCTTCAACTTGACCAACTCGATGGCAAGAGTAAGCATAGTTCAAAGCATTAACATATAATGCAAGCTTGGAATTACACGGACTAGAATGTGTGGGGGTCGATTGTGGACCCTTTATTCCACTTATTTGACTCGATAGCAAGCACAAAATAAAAAGGAAATGGGAGGGGAGTGTGATTTGCCTCTTTTGAGGTCTTTTGTACACAAGAAAACAAAAACATGGCTCATTTTGAGGACATTAACAGAACAAACATCCCCTCACTTGAGGACTTTAAATAGATTGCCCACCTAAAGTAGGGACTCCTAGTCATGAATGTCTATTCCTTCACATGGAAAGGTAAAGAAAAAACGATGCGGAAAAATAAACCAGAATCAATACAAATCCAAACGAACAAGAGTTTTTAGCAAGCAAGCAAAAGTAGAATATCTTCGGAAAACTGAGCAAGCTTCACCAAGCAACAATGAAATAGTCATAAACAATATCCAATATAAGAACCGAA